AGGAAGGGAGGGAGGGAGGGAGGAAGGAAGGAAGGGTAAACCTCAGCTGGGCTGTAGGGTGTGGCCTGCAGGTGGGGGTGCTAGAGACCATCAGACTCACCCTGCCCCAGGCTGGGGACTGCGGCTCACCTGCTCTGAGGGCCTGGCTGCAGGACATCCTTAGGCGGGGTGGGGAGTGATGCCTCATTGGGTGGCCACCTGCTTTTCTCTGATTGCTGGGGAGGCTCCAGAAAAGGGCCCTTGATTTCCCTGGCATAATAGATAATCCTTTCTCCCCTCTCTGTTTTTCAGAAAAAAAAGCCCAGTGAACTGATGAGTTTCAAGAGCTTCGTGGATGAACTTAACTCTCACCACAATAAGAAGCGCGGGGTGTTTTCGAAACTTTCCCGCAACCCATCAACCCCTTCAGAAAGGATTTACTGGACCACTCTCAGCCAGTGCCCCCGAAAACTAGTCAGTGTCCCCCCAGGGCCTGCCTGTCTTCCTCTCTTGGGAGGCTCCCTGCAGGGCTGGGGCGGGGTGACTGTTTCAGGGGGGAAGCTCAGCTTTGGTGTCAGACTCACTTGGTTCCCATCCTAGTCTTGCATTCACCAGTCATGCTGGGTGAGTCCTCTCTCTCTCTGAGCCTTGGTTTGCATGCTTGACCTAACCAGGAGCATAGCCAGGGAGCTATGAGAATTACAGGACGTTAAGGACTGGAGTCCATAGCGTGGAGCCTGGTACCTGAAAGTGCCCAGCTAGCATTGATCTCCACCCTGCCCCTTCTTCCCCTGGGGAGAAAACAAAGGGGAACACTGAGGCAGGGCAGAATGCTAATAAGGGCTCTGTCCCAGCAGAGGACTGCACACCTGTTCCAGCTAAGGGAGTCTTGAGCTCCTCTCTGTGGGGCAGCAGCCTGTCATCTGAGTAGGCCCCTGACTTTAGCTGGGCACCTCCTTTCCCCAGCAGGGTCTGCCCCCTTTGAGAGAATCGCTAAGGGCTTGGGAAGGAGTGGGGTCTAGGAAGGAAAAAAGCAGTGCCAACATTTCCTGAATGCCTGCCCTGGGCCAGGCACCTTCCAGCACCTCCCCCCAGGGAGGGATTACCATTTGTGTTTCCCAAAAGGAAACTAAGCACCAGAGATGGGAAGGGGTTTGCCCAGGCTCCCCCAGCAAGGGCAAGAAGGAGCATATTGGAACCCAGGTCATCTAGCTCCAAAGTCTGAGTGCCTTCCACTTCCCATGCTGGGGTCTGGGCATCAATCTGGACCCTGCCAGGCCTGGAGGGCCCTTGGGAACCTGGAGAAAAGTGTCAGGCTAGTGGGTGGGGGTTAGCATGGGTGGCATGGATTATGAGAGCACCATAGGGACCTTCACCCCTGGAGGGTGGGCTCCGGGTGAGTGGGGAGGTGGCTGGCCTCCCACCGTCCTTGGCTCAAGGCCCAGGGCTGTCAGGGCTCACCTGCCCTGGCTGCAGGCTGACCATGGCCAGACCTCCCCAGCTTTCAGCCTCATTCCTGACCCCCAGGCCTCGTCTGGTCCCGGTATGTGGCTTCCTCCAGAGAAGGAATGCAGACGCTTCAACCAGCCCCCGTTCCTGCTGTCCTCCAAGCGGGCAGGCTTGAGGGCCTACCAGATGCTTCTGGGAAGCTGGGTGAGTGGGTCTGTGTCGGGTAATGAGGAGCCCCAAACCCTCCCTGCTCCCTGGGAATGGATGCTCTGAGTGAGCCCGATCTCCCCTCTTTTCTCCCCCAGGGACTAACACCCACTCCCACTGTCTTATTCCTCTAAGGCATTGGTTTCCAAACTTGAGTGGGCATTAGCATCATACTGGAGGGCTTGTTAAAACACTGATTGCTGGGCCCCACACCAGAGCATCTGATTTAGAAGCCTGGGGCGGGGCCTGGGAACTTACATGTCTAACAAGTTCCCCAGTGATGCAGATGCCACTGTCCCAGGGACCACACTTTGAGAACCACTGCACTAAGGGACCTCACCCCAGAACCATCCCATTCTCTTATTTTTCCAGGGGAATGCTCCCTCCATTCTCTCTTTGTATTTGTCTCGAGGCCTCAGGGGCAGCTGGTGGTTGCATAGGACTCCTTGTGTTCCTTCTCTCCCCCTTCCCCACAGGCAGCCAACCCCATGTGTGTGATATAACCTTCCCTTGTCCTGACTTCCAGCACCACTGGTTAATTTTGTCTGGGTTTGAACAGCTGTATATTTTTAAGCCCTCTCCAGATTTCCCTGGGAACATCTTGCTTGTAACTTATTTGCCTTCTCATTATGTTCCCACTGCCTCATCCCCACCCTCACATCTGAGCTCCACTCCTCTGAGAGCAGAATGCTCCCCACCTCCTTTCCCGCCTGAGTAACTGCTTGGTCCCCAATGTGCCCACACCTCCCTCCCTCCCTGATTCTCAGGAGGCCCAGCTGGTCAGTCCCCTCATACTTCCTTTTCTCACCTCCAGCATGGATCTCCTGCAGGGAAGAGGGTCTTCCCTCTGACACCCCAAATAAAATGTTTGGAAAAGAGCCAAAGACCTTGCTGCTACTACAGGGTGGGCCAAAGTGGGAGGGGCTGAGGTGAAGCCCCTGTTCCAGAGGCTGAGCTCACCTGCACATCTGGCTGGGAACCTGCACACCTGGCTGGGCACCTGCTCCCCCATGAGACAGGCCTTTCCCTTGTTGGCAGCAGGTTCAGCTTCACATTGGACTAGTGCTTGGTTCGTAGTATCTCCCAGCTCACCCCTGGTGCCGCTTTCCTCTGATGGCTGGGTCCCTGTCCTGACTTTCTTCTGCCCTCACTAATCACCCTGGGCAGGCTGATCTTCTTTCTGAACCTCTGTTGGCACCTCTTGTATCTATGACCGACCCAGGTGTCTCATGGGATGGCATATAAATTTCCTAGGGCTGCTGTAGCAAAGTACCACAAGCAAGATGGTTTAAAACAATTTCTCCTCTCATAGTTCTGGAGGTGGGAAGTCTGAAATCCAGGTGTCAGCAGGGCTGTGCTCCCTCTGAAACCTGCTGGGGAGAATCCATCGTGCCTCTTCCTGCCTTGTAGTGGCCAGCAGTCCTTGGAACTCCTTGGCTTGTAAATGCGTCACCCCAATTTCTGCCTCTGTGTTGTATGGCCTTCCCCTCCCCGTTTCTTCTTATATCAGGACACCAGCACATTGTGTTAAGAGCCCACCCTATTCCAGTATGACTTCATCTTAACTAATTGCATCTGCAACTAGTGTCTCCAAATAAGGCCACACTCTGAGGTAGTGGGGGTTAGGACTTCCACATCTATTGGTAGGACACAATTCAACCCACGACAGATAGAGTAGGGAGGAGCCTGGGAAGGGGAGGAGGCCTCAGATTAAGTCTCCAGGCCAGGCGTCCAGCTTGCTAACATCCTGCCCCCCCTCCCTGGCACAGAACCCTGTGGGGGTGGGCTACTACCTCAACACCTGGCTGATGGAGACAAAGGACCATCGGCAGCGATATCGGTCCCTGTACCTGGACAGATCCAAGCGCTACCCCTCAGACCCAGCCTGGGACAAGTTCATGCAGTGAGTGCCGCTGGAGCTCCAGCAGAGGGACTGGGGCACCTAAGGGCTCACTTTGGGGTGGGCAAGGACCCTCCTCGACCTTGTGCTTGGTTCTCATGGGAACACAGCTATTGCCCCCAGTGCCAACCAAACAGCTGTGGCAGTGGCGAGAGTTCAGATCCTGGCTCTGCGCTCACTGGCTGTGTGAGGTGGGGCATGTCACTTAACCTCTCTGAGCCTCATTTTCCTCAGCTGTCAAATGAGCAGAGGACTGTGGAGACTGAAATGAGACGCCGTGGTAAGGAAAAGGACCTCATCAACACTAACTTCCCCACCCATGACCCACACAGTTCAGGCTCTGCCTCACAAGGCTTCACCCTATGGAATCTGTTTCTTGGTGTTCATAATGGGGTTGGTAAAGCTCATTTAAGATGTTGTGAAGCCAAAAGAAAAAGTGCACGAAAATCATGGCTAGGTGTGAAACAGCTTGCAAATGTCAGTGGCCACCATATTTTATTTTATTTTTTAAATATATATTTTTTATTTTAGAGAGAAGAAGGGAGGAGAGAGAGAGAGAGAGAGAGAAACATCGATGAGAGAAACATCAATCGATCGGCTGCCTCCCGCACATCCTCTGCTGGGGATCAAGCCTGTATTGGCCTGACTGGGAATTGAACCAGTGACCTCCTGGTGCAACCACTGGGCCACACCAGCCGGGCCCACCATATTTTATTGATCTAGGAGGCCATCAGTTATGGTGTGTTCTGTTTCAGGAACGTGGAAGTGTGAAGCATGCACTTTAGCACTGATCATTTTGTTGTTGGAAATCCCGGTGAGGGCATGAGGATCAGATCGATCAGAGAAACCAGCTTTCAACTGTTTATTTTTATAGTCCCATGTCTTTTCTTGATTTACTCCCTTGTTCTGGTGGCTTCCTTGGAAAAGGTTATAGGAGGTAACATTTTTGATAGACTGCGTTCCTGAAAAAAAATTTTTTTTCTCGTGCAACTGATCAATAGTTTGGTTGGAAACAAAATTTTATGTTGGAAGTAATTTTCCCTTGGAATTTTGAAGGCTTTGCTCTGTTGCCTTTGAGTTTCAGGCATGGTTGTTGAGGATTCCGGTGCCATTCGGGTTTTCTGTCCTTTGTACGCAGCCTGCATCTTCCTCTCCGGACCCTTTCGGATCTCTTTATCCCTTGTGTTCTGAAATTTCATGTCCATGGGTCTTAGCATGAGTCTATTTTCATTTATTGGTTTGGGTACTTTGTGGGTTCCCTCCTTCTGAAAACTCAGGACCTTCTGTTCTGGGAAAAGTTCTGCGTCTTTGTCTTTGGCCATTTCCTCCTCTCTGTTTTCTCTCTTCTCATTCAGATGGATGGTTTGATGCCGCAGTTTCTTATCTGTTTCCCCTTTATTTCCTCTGTCTTTTCTGTGCTACTTTCTGGTAAGCTTTTCTTGTCCTTATATTGCTTCCTTACTCTTGCCTTCTTATTGTTCATTTCCAAGAGCTCTTGTGTGTTTTTTTTTCCCCTTTTTAATATATCTTTATTGATTTCAGAGAGAGGAAGGGAGGGGAGAGAGAGAGAGTTGGAACATCAATGATAAGAGTCATTGATCGGCTGCCTCCTGCACGCCCTCCACTGGGGGTGGAGCCCGCAACCCGGGCATATGCCCTGGCCGCGATCTCCTGGGTCCTAGGTCTGTGCTCCGTGCTCCACCGCTGAGCCACACCCAGCCGGGCTGGTTTTTTTCTCTTTTAACAGCACCCCATTCTGTCATGTGTGCAGCCTGTCCTTTCATCTAAGGGTAATGAGTTTTCCTTAAGTTTCCTTTTGCTCCCTGCATTGTCTTCACTTCCTCCAACTTTTTTTCTTTCACTTGCTTTTAAAAAAAAATAAAATCAAAATAAGTTAAAAATAAAGCAGGAGTAAAGAATTAACAAAAACGAATGGGGACCGGATGATTGGAGGAGCTCTCACCGGATGCTCACAACTCCTCGATGTTGTCCCTCCGGGCCTCGGGCCCAGGGCGGTGACCACAATCTCGAGGGCGCAGCTGCGGGGGAGAACGTGTGGACAGTCCGTGGACTGTGCAGCTGCTGTAGGAGGCCGGGGTGACTGTCAGTGCAACCTCCCCATCTTATACGTAAGTGAGGCTTGGAGGGGTGGGGGTGATGGGACAGCCCAGAGTCCTGCAGCCAAACGGAGGTAGGGCAGGGCCCAGGGGCCGAGGCTCAGACTCCGACCCTGTGCTTCAGCCTCTCCTCCACGGCCAGGTTTGGAGGAGGCCCGGGGTTGGCAGAACACAACATGCCTTTGAACAGTTGCTGTCTTCAGTCAGGCGAGGGAGGGCGTGTGTGGGAGGGTTGCGAAGTCTCCTTCTGGAATGCGCAGTTACAGCTAATCTTTCTCACCCCTCACTCCCAAGCCTCAGCTCCTTCCTCCTGCCAAACCGCAGCTTTCTGCACTTGTCCCTAGCCAGCCTGGGATTTAACTCCTGCATGGGAAAGGCAGCCTTTTGTTTGCCATTCCTTAGAGCTGGGTATATAGGTGCTTCTAAATTTGGACCCAATGGACCGGGTTTTCTATCTGGTCACCTTTCTGGCTCTTAAGATCCAGGTCTTTTTGTTCCATCTGGCCACTTCTGGCCGTGTGAACATGGGCTGTCTGTGCTCTGGCCAGGCCTCACCTTGTACTGCCCCCTTGCTCTCCAGCCTTTGGTCACACTGTGATCTGTTCTTGGAACATCCTGTCCTAGTTTGTCTGGAAAACTCCTATTCATCTCCCACAACCCTGCTTAAACATGACGGCTTCCCTGATTTTTCCAGATAGTGTCTCCATTCTCAGTCTCTTGTGAATTCCCTGGTTGGAGCACTTTCCCCAGTATATTGTAATATTTTTTCATGTTTGTGGTCCCCGAACAGAACTTTTCTATTCTCTGGCTCCAGCATCTAGCTGGCGTACGTAGAGGAGCTCAGTGAATATTTGTTAAAGGATAGGTCAGTGCATTCATTGATGGAATGGCCCAGAGTCTGGGTAACTCCATGAAAGGAACACGTGGGAACTCCCATTTGATTTGCAAGAAGTTTATTTTTCCTTTTAAACTTCTTCACCTGACATAGTATTATGAACTTTTTCAAACATACAGCAACACTGAAAAGATTTTACAAAGATTTTACAGTGTATGCCTACTTATCACTTAGGTTATATTATTAGTTTTATTCTTCTTGCTTTTGACATATACCTATTAATCTATCATTCATCCATTCTCATCCTTCTATCATCTATTAATCATCTTACACTAATTTGATACACTAATTTATTTAATTTTTATTTAACCCTCACCTGAGGATATTTTTTCCATTGCTTTTCAGAGAGAGTGGAAGGAGAGAGAAACATCGATGTGAGAGAGACACACATGCATTGCCTCCCGCATGCATCCAGACCTGGGCCTGGGATCGAGCCTGCAGCCAAGGTATGTTCCCTTGGCAGGGATCGAACCTGGGACCCTTCAGTCCACGGGCTGATGCTCTAACCACTGAGCTAAACAGACTAGGGCTAATTTGATATGTTTAAAAGTAAATGGCAGGCATCAAAATACTCCCTCCTAAGTACTTCAGGGTGCATGCTACTTTTTCAATATTTTAAACTAAAGCCATGATCCTTGTCTAGAAATCTGAGACTGAAATCATAAATATCCATTTCTTGTAATAATAATAAATTCTTATATTCTTGGAGTTTATAATGTACGAAGTGATTTTGTATGTATTTACTGTACATAGTAACTTTAAAAGCTAGGTATTACTCTCAGTGTTTTTCAGTCGAGATAACTCAGTTTTGAGAGAGAAAGTGTTTTCCTAAAGTTGTTGCCAGCCAACAGCATCCGTGCAAGCAGTCTTCAAAACTTAGTCGAGCACTTACTATGTGCCGGGCGCGTCCTGGCTACTCAGACATCGTGAAGGAGAACCAGGTAGCTGTCCTGCCCAGCGTGGCTCCCAGCTCCCGGGAAGGGGCTCCCCCCGTTTCTGCAGCTACACCGCAGCGCGAGGAGGAAGAGGACAGGTGGGGCCCGGGCCTCTCTCCACGTTAACGCTTTCCCCACAGCTTTCTGGAGGATTCGAGCCAGAGGGAGGCTCTGAACCCGAAGGCTAAGGCAGAGGCAGCCTTTACCATGACTCCTCTTCCTGTCCCCAGCCTGCTGCCCTCGCCGGCCGCCTTCCTGCCCGGGCCTCTGTGCGTGCTGCTGTGGTGGGAGATTTGGAAGTTTAGTCAGGAAGGGGGGACTCTTAGAAGTATAGCGTGGAGTCCTGCTTCCCACAAGCCCCACGATGCATTTACTACTGAACACAGAAGTCTGGTGATTGCCATGGAGACAAAATGCTGCCAGGGAAAGATAGGGCCTTAGCTCCAAGGGAAGGCCATGTTTCCTCCCTCCCTCCCTCCCTTCCTCTTTTCTTCTATCTTTTTCCCTTTATTTTTGGTGGGGGTAGACACTTGAGCATGTTTCTGGGCTGGCAGGTTGGGCTAAATGATCTTTCAGGTGCTAGGATTTTGTATTTGAAGTTCTGACGAAGCACCTTGGGGGCTCTGATGAGCGAAACTTGGTGCAAAGTAGAGAGGGAGCTCCTCCTTAGAGCCAGGCTGTTTTGATGGAAACGCTCTGGAGGTCATCAATTTTGGCCTCTCTCCCAATGTAGGATCTCCTGGGAAGCACAATCAACAGGTACCTGTTCATCCCTGTGGGTGCCCTCCAGGGATGGGAGGCTCACTCCCTTCCAAGGGACCAGTTGTATTTTATTTTTTTCTCTGTCTTTTTAAAGGGAAAGGCGTACACCTTTTACTAAGGGGAAGTGCCATCCAACAGTGGATTACAATTCGGATCCTACTCCTTAAAGCTGAATATGAAGGACAGCCTGCGGTGACCAGAGGGCCCGAAGGACTGAGGACAAACCTGGGGATGGGAGGGTGGAAGTGGGAATGGAGGGGTCTTGGAGAAAAGCCACTTGGGAATGCCTGGGAGAGGGGAGAGATGGTGATGTAGTGGGATTACTTTTACTGGAGACATCTATCTGGAGGTCACAATCTGCTGGAACATCGGGAGCCAGATATCTTTTGATATGAGATCAGTTATCCTGAGAATTCAAATCGGCCAGTGACATGAACATAGGAGCCAGACAGCAGATGGACCAAAGGGGTGAAATACAGTGGACACTTTTGGGAGCCTTGACTCCTTGCTCATTAAAATCCATCAACAGGTGAATGAATGAATAAATAATTGGGGTTTATCCACACATATGTCAAGACTAAGCAAACTGTACACTTAAAATATGTGCAGGTTACTATATGTTAATTATACCTTGATAAATTGTTACAGTTTGGAAGAAATTAAAGAGAAATAACTAAATGCAATATAGGATCCTAGAAAGGATTCTGGAAAGGAACATTAGTGTTAAAATTGGTGAAATTCAAATAAGGATTTGTTAATGATATGGTTTAGTTAATGATATTATGCCAATGGTAATGTCTTGGTTTGGTAATTTTACTATGGTTCTATAGAAGATGTTAACATTAGAGGGAGTTGGGTGAGAGACTAGGGAAATCTGTACTCATTACAACTTTTCTGTAAGCCTAAAATTAATTCAAAATAAAGTTTAAAAATATATGCAATAAAATTTTTTAAAAAGACTGCTTTACCTTATAGAAAAAGTACATTTTTTCCAACTATATTAGCTATCATATTAGTGACAGTTACCATAAAGTCAGCCAATTAGGAGAGTTTGCCTTTTATGAGAAGCCTGTGTAACTTTAAATTAGGCAGTTCTTTTGAATACTTTGCCATGAGATACCAATGAACTTCTGTTATAAGTCATGTATGCTGAGAAGGGACAACCACCTACTGTATGGAGCAAAAGGTTCTCTGACTGCATAAAAGGCTTCATTTCACTGTTTCTAGATCTAGGGCTACTTCTCAGCTGGCTCCGGCTAAGGCTCTTTGAGCACTTTGGTGGTATAAGACTAGATGAGCCTGCATCCTTGTTTAACTCATTAACAGCTTCCACGTCGTTTTCAGGCAAATCACCTGACCTTTCTTGGGCTTCACTTATTTCTAAAATGGGGATAAAAACTGGCCTGCTTTTGTGACAGGAGTTTAATAAGACATTATATGTTGCATGCAATTCAAATGTAGGGTGGGATTGAAGGCTTAAACTACAAAATTCTCCCCTTTATGGAGAATTCACAAAATCCAGATTTGTGAAACTGAACAACTGGAAAACTAATTTCCCAAAGGATTCCTTTCAAACAACTTTAGGGACACCCACATGACACAAATTTTAGGAAAACATCCGTCACATATATCTATGCATTTGTATAAAACTTTATTGCACTAAACTCAACTCTTTGATCTCTGCTCACTTAAGTCTGACAACCTCTAACAATTACGGTGAGCTCAATTGCTCTTCCAAGTAGTCCCAAATACGTAGTGACTCAACTGCAGTAAAAATTGTATTTCTTGCTCCCATAACAAACCAGGCCAGGCTTCAGATTTATGGGCAGTTCTTCAGCAACTCAGGGATCCAGGCTCCCTCCAACTTGTGACTCTGCTGCAGCCTGTGGCCTGGTTGTCATCTGCATCCAGCTAACAGAAGGGGTAAGGGCCAGGAGAACCTCACATACGTTTTTTTACTTCTGTTCACATTCTTCTAGAGAACTCTAACACAAGGGCACACGTGACTGCAGGGAGGCTGGGAAATGTAGTCCAGCAGTGTATCCAAAAAAGGGAGGAATGGATTTCAGGAGATAGCTAGTGGTCTCCCCAGTTTGTAGGTGAGGGAATAGTCTTAACAGGGTTAGCTTGCCAAAATTTTAGATCACCACCTGTTGACAAAGCCAGGACTGTAGCCCAGAGCTCCTAACAACCATGTCTGGTGCCTTAAAAAAAGCACTCCCCTCTCCCGCCCGTGATCTGAGCCACCATGGTCTCACCTGGATTCTTCTCTGGTCTCCCATTTCCACCCTTTCCCTTGCAGTCTGTGCTCCACCTTGCAGACGGGAGAGCCTATTAACAACTACGCCAAATCACATTGTGACAATGATAGAAATTCAAAAATGGGACAGAAAAATCACCCATGAGCCTGCTGCCCTGACAAACCTGTCACCTCCTCCATGCTGTCTTTCAGTCCTCATTCACAGGCACACAGGTGCAGAGGGAAACTGACCTGGTGAGTGGCAGAGCCTACACCTGAGCCAGGTCAGACTATACTGTGGTCCCCAGAGCAAGAAACAACAAAGCCTACTTTCCAGGTCACACTTTTATTTTTACAGAAGCGGTGGCTACACAGGGGCATGACGTTTCTGGACAGTAGGCATAGCGCCTGTGGTTCCAAGAGCCTGCCAGGGGAGATTCATGCCTTTCTCCTTGGGCCCCATGACAAAAAGGGGGGGGAAAAAAAAGAATCACACAGCATCCCCACCCCCACCCCTCCCTTCTCTTTTAGTAACACCCAATTTAATAATATACATCCTTCCAGCCAAAGAAACTGGCTGTAACTGATTTTACAGAAAACTTTCATGCAGCCGCGAAACTCGTGGCTCTAGAGGGAGAGGCCTGTTCTTTTATTTCCACACATCGCCCCCCCGCCAGTGTGAATGAAGTTCAACTCCGTCTAAAACCAGCACACAGACAGTGATGGGGCTGGCTACTGGAGAAAGCTGATAGCTCAGCATGCTTGGAAGACTGCCCTTTCCAGGCAAGGCATTATTGGAGTAAAACATTAACCCGAGGCTGGTGCAATCCCAAGACCTTTCCTTCCAAGCCCCAGGTTCCAGGTGGGGTCTGTGAAGGACGGGATTTTGGTTTGTAGGACTAAGGACAACAGAGGCTGCTGGCATCTCTGGCCACACTCCCAGTGGGTCAGGGATGGAGGCCACACTGGTGAAACTGTTGGGTTAATCTGCCCGGGTTAACCATTCCTCTACAGCAAGTAGGATCATCAGTTTAACCTGGAGTGGGAAGCACATGGGCCCACTATGCGAACTAATGCCAGAATTCACGTGCTTTGCATACAAGCTAGAGAATGAGGTTTCTTATATTTTCCTATGTCCCCTCCAGAGGCCAAAAGGGTAAAGGGGCTCATTTGCCTTCTGAGTGCCATGAATGTGCCCAGCACTCACAGGATTATGCTAAGATACTCTGCAGCATGCCAAGCCCTGGGTCGAGTGGGCAAGCACCTGACATTCAAAGCATGACTCAATGAGGATTTCGGCAAACTGTAGTGACAGGACTGACACTTCCTGCAAGCCTTTCTGAAAACGAGATGAGAGCTGGCCTTGGGCTGAAGGAAGGACCTTAAATGACAGACCACCCCCAAGTATCCACATGATCATTTATTTTTCCTCTGACTTTCCGCACAGATGAGGCAGCCACAGGGTCTAAGGCAGCCATGCACTTCTACAGCAGAATGGGCCCCAGGGAGGTCTTGTCTGTACCGATGTGATGGATACGGGAAAACTATAGTTCAGAGGAACAAATGACTTGCCCACAGTTGCACAGCTCACTGACAGTACGTCAGGGGCTGAAACCCAGGTCTCCTGACTCCTGGTCCAATGTGCTCTGTCTCTCAGAATGTCACTGCCTGGCACAGCTCACTTAACTCCAGCTTCCCTTACGGGACACAATTCCTTCTCAGATTCTGGGTCTTTAGCTGAGGCTGGGCAGTTCCTAAGATGGAGTTGCATAAACAACCAAGCTTTACTAAGTGGGGAAGGACCCAGGGAGAGTCCCTATCCTCTGCAATGGAAACTGAGCTAACTTCTCTGAGCTTAGAATTTGTAAGGCACTGAAATGAACTACAGCTGGGGATGGGGGAGAGGAGAAAGAAAAAAAAAGGGAATGGATGAATGGTTGGAGGAATCAAGCTGATGTACCATTCTTCCAGCCCCACGGTGAGAATCCTCACGGAACCTAGCAATGGTGGGCTCTGTTTTCCTGCAGGTGTGGTCCACCCCACCCCAATGCCCCAGAGCAGCATGAGCTCACCCCACCACATCTAAGTAGGTTCTGGGGATGAGAGGCATAAAGGGTTGGAAAGCAAAGAGGGAGTCCAGATCCTCTGGATTCAATTGAGAGCAGAAACCACTCATTCCACCTGGGCGGGTATCCCAGGCCTAGGCTGGGATAGGTTTCAACCCTGAAATGTCTTTCCCAGGGACACGGTCCTCTAGTAGACTAGGTGACGGCTGGGGCGGCATGCAAGCCTGAGTGTGGAGAGAGGGGGGCAGGACATCACCAAGGACGGCAGAGGAAACTTTGGGATTGGACCTGGCTTTGGCACAGCTTGTCTTGGGCCTGCCCGCCCATCTGTTACCTCCTGAGACCCCAGGGATGGAGGGGAACCTCCCTTCTCCCTGTGAGGAGCAATTCTGGCTGACTGAGCAATAGCAGTGCAACTCCAGGGCATCCTTTCATCATTCCAGCCAAGCCTATGCCCAGGTGACCTAATGTGGAGCCTCTGGGACTCAACCTACCAAATCCAGAGCACTTGTCAGATGTGATGCTGAACGGGAATCAATAACTACCACAGCCTGTAGGCAGATACTGTTACCCCTTGTCCAGAGATGAAGAGCCAAGCTCAGAAGGGCTACGCAACTCACCCAAAGTCACACAGTGAATGAGTGGCTGAACCGGGAACTAGACTCGGGTTCACCTGACTCCAAATCCCATGTCCTTCTCACTCCACGAGGAGCCCTTGGAAGCTGGGAGCAGCCCGTCAGGGCTGTCTGCGTGGGATTTCTGGAGGGGTTTGTTACTGAAAGTGTGGATCTGGGAGAGTAGCCAAGCTTGAGTAAGGGGAAGACGCCTCCTGGCCTTGGGGCAGGGACCATCGCAGGTCTGTCTCTTTGCAGGCGGGCTCCGGCTCAGTGCCTGGCGGCCTTGCAGACCTTGTCATACACCTCAGGGAAGGCGTCCTGGCAGTTGAGCTGCTCCCGCAGCTTGTGGTACAGGGAGCCGTCAAACATCTCCCAGAACTCCTCACGGTCCATGTAGCAATCAGCATACAGCATCTGGAACCTGCAGAGCAGAGACAGGGGGTGAGGACAGGGGGGCGATGTCAGTGGGACAGGGAGGAGAAGGGGATGAGAGAACCCCGACTACTCTCACGTGCAGCATGCTTTGCAGGCAGGAGGCGCTTCTGGAGGATATCTCTTGTTTATCCCCTAATGGCCTAGGAGTGGAGGGTGGTACAGGAATTCTTATCCCCATTTTGCAGATGGGAAATCGAGGCTCAGAGTATTAAGTGGCTTGGCAGTGAGGAGTAGGTCTTGGACTGCTGGCTTCTCCCCTATGCTCGGTGGGCGAACATAGCCTCCCTGACAGGCTGCTGACTGCTCTCTTTTCATTTTTTTACTGATGTTCAATAAACTGTACATATTGTGAGTGTACAACTTGCTAAGTTTGACATATGTATACAAACTAGAAATGTCTCAGTCAAGATAGTGAAAGTAATGACCTCCTCATGAGCGGTCATTGCCCTCTACCATCCCAGGCGATCTGCTTTCTGTCACGGATTCCTGAATTTTATATAAATGGAAACATCAGTACTCCTTTTTTCCTGGCTTCTTTCAATTGGCACAGTTATTCTGAGATTTGTGCATCTTGTTAGGTCAGTAGCTTGTTCCAGGCCGTTTTCTGGGACTGCTCTGTCCCAGGACTCTGTATAGCTTTCACAGCCACGAATCCCTCCCTCCTTAGCTTTGTTCTTCTAATCTGAAGTGGCAGCTCCTGAATAAATGGAAAACCATCCCATCATCTTCCCTGGGGTGAGGAGCAGGGTTGGGGGAGAGATGCAGGTGTGCTGATTGGTGAGGGGGATGCTAGCCCCCTTGGCCCTTCCCTGCACCCCCCTGCAACAGTCCCCTGGGGCTGGCGGCTGAAGGGACTGGGCCACGCTCTGAGCCACTCACCCATGCACACTTCGGACGAACTTCTCTAACTGCCTCATGCAGGACCTGGCTTCAAAGTGTTTCACGCGTGGCTCCCCGTAAGCTCCAATGTCCACATAGAGCTCAGTCTCGTCTCCCTTGGGGTGCACCAGGCCAGGATGGCTGGGAAGGATGAAGGGGCACAGCCAGATGGGGTACACCTGAGTGGACCAGGGAGGAGGGTGTTGGTGCTTTCTCTCCAACAGGGGACAGGCTCATAGCTGGCCTACCTGCACCCCTACCCAAAGGGAGGCTTTGCAGCACTCTCCAGAGGCCCCTCCTCTGGCTGCTCAGTTTCACCCCAAACCCCAAGCCGTGGCTGGGAGCACCCAACTCCACGCCACTAGGGGGGCACAATCTGAGTAGTTCACAGAAGTGCCCATCACTGGGCCCTATGACTTCTCTCCCATCAGGGCCATGGCTGAGCAGGTCCATTTTGCAGTTGGGGAAACTGAGGCCCAGAGGGCAGGCATGCCCAAGGTCAGTCACATGATTAGTTGAGAGGAACATGGGTTCCCCGGGATGGCTCCTGGCCCGCCCTGCCCTGCCCCAGCTCACGTGGATGTCATTCTGGAAGGTGTGCAGGGCCTGCATCATGCACTTCATGGGCACCAACATGTCCTGCACCACGTGGTGCTGCTCATACAGCTTGCGCAGGGTCTCGCCCTGGGTCAGCTTCAGGAGGGAGATCTTGGGAGGCACCATCCAACCAAAGAGGTAGCGGAAGATAGGGTTGTTGCCGAAGGGGATGATATCCTGAAAGACAGAGCTTGAAGATGGAGAGAAGGAACCAACAAGGGCTAAGAGTCTCCGGGTGCCAGGGGCCGGGTCCTCATTCAGTGCTCGACATGTATGACAGGGTCTGCCCCTCCTATTTGGAGTGACATAGTGGTACCCAGTATTTACCCAGCTGGATTAGGGTGTGATTCTCAGCTCTTGTATTTACCAGCTGTGATGACCTTGGGCTAGTTACTTAACCTCTCTGAACTCAGTTTCCTTATCTGTAAAATGGGAATTCTGAGAATAGTCACACATCAGATACAAGACACTCAGCCCAGTGCCTGGAGCAAAATAAGGTAGCTATGGCTGCTGGTCTAGTTGTTGAAGTCAGAGTGGCTGGCACAGAGCGGATGTCCATGAGTGTTTGAGAAATAAATGCTGTTGAATGAGAAGAAGGATACACAAAGAGTATCCCTCTTCTCATTCTACCCTCTGGTTTCATAAAGTTTTATTGGAACACATCCACGCCTATTTAATTACACACCGTCTATGGCTGCTTTCAGGCTGTAAGGACAGAGCTGCTCCTAGAGAGACCTCATGGTCCAAAAAAACTGAAATTACTACCTGGCGCTTTACAGTGATTCTTTGCTGACCTCTGCTCTACTGCATGGATATGGCCTAATTTATTTAATCAATTCTGTACTGATGGGCATTTAGATCATTTCCTTACTATTCTGATGACTGTTCTTGGTGCATCTGTCCTTGCCCATCCATTTACATGTATTTTTATCTGTAAGATAAATTCCTAGAAGTGGAAAATTCTGCTTCAGACAGTGTATGCAATTTTAATGGGTACTATTTTAAGAGCCCGTACCATTTTATACTCTCCCCAACAACACAGGAGCCAGCCGTTTCCTCACACCCCGGCCAGCACGCGTGTTATCAAACTTCACATCTCTCATTCAGACAGGCAGCAAATGAGAGTCTCCTGCAAGTCTTGTTTCCCCTGCCTTTAATTCTGAGTGAGACTACATCATCTTCTTTATGTTTAAAAGCCATTTACATTTTTCCCCCTAAAAATAGTCCATTGTTAGCCAAAAGTTATCAGCTAGCACCACTCCTTTTCCAAAGTCTCAACCTCACAAAGTTCAAGTTTAAAGGCCGTGTCCTGCCCTTCTCTTTTCCTGCCTCTGTCTACTCCATTATCCATCTTTCTACTTTGAAGTGACCTTGGGCCTCATGTCCCTGGCTTCACTCCTGGTCCTGTCCCGCCAGCACACTAAGGTCAGTCACTTCAGGAATCCTTATCACAGCCTCTTCCCATCTTGGCCTCATGCTGTCCAGCTGCTCTTGGCTTTTTCCTGTGTCCAGCCCGCTACTGGCCTCCTCTGCTCTGCTGGGCTGCAGGGCCCCACTATAGGTGCAGGTCTAATGGGCCCAGCCTGACCTAGGACTCCAAACCCCACAGGAGGCCCTGTGACAATGACATTCTAAGAAACATGAACAACCTAGGACCTATCTACCCTTCCTTTCTTCCCTATATTAGCCAACCACTTACATTGCTGAAAATGAGGACAGCAAAGGGAAGGGAAAGACAGGGCTGCCCAGAGGCCCTTTTCTTTTGGCCCTTCCTTACTCACCAGTTGCCAGAGTGAAGTGTTGGTAGAACATGAATGTTATCAAGAAGGGAAATAACATTTAAATGTTTAATTTTTCTTTACTTAAAATAACATTAAATAGCAAATATTTATGATAAGAGAGACACACCATGGAAGAAAGGAAAACACTTTATAATTTAATACCTTTGATGGCCCTTTTTCCTTGCTTTTTACACTGGGTGCTGAAGATTATGTAGATAGCTAGCCCTGACCCCTGACTGGCAGAGCTGGGTGAGGGGCAGGGACTGGAACAGCCAGGTGTGGCTCAGGTGTGACAGGAATGCAAGGATCGCCTGGAATGCTGATCACGCCCACATGGATATGTGACACCTTACCTCTGCCCTGGAGTCCTGACGTGGAGCCAGCTGCCCACCCGCTGCCCTACCTAGATCTCAAACTGACATGCCCCAGATCAAACCTCCGATGTCCCCTCCCAGACCGTCCCCCATGTTGCCCATGGCAATCAGTGGTACCTCCGCCTCCCAGTGGCTGGGAATCACACCCACGGTCAAGCTGCCTGGAAGGCTGGTCGGTCCCACCTTCACAGACTCCTCCAATCTGACATCTTTTCCCTCCTCCACTGCTATCACCCCGGACAACAGGAATCCTTCTTTTACTCTTGCCACCCCCGCCCCGCCCATCTACTCTCCATCTAGCTGTCAAAGTTATCCTTTTAAAACAACAATCGGGTCATATCACTTTTCTGAGCAAAGCTCTCCACCGGTTTCCTACCATACTTAGAGTAAAACATAAAGTCCTTCCTTGACCTATGAGGACACACATGATCTAGGCTCCGGCTGCTGTGTGACCTCACTTTCCACCATGGTTCTAGGTCAGGGGCTTTCTTGCTGTTTTTTTAAAAACATGCAACCTGCTGTGACAACAGGATAGCGATATACCTTCCGCCACATAAAAGACTTTACTTAAATCAACAACCTAAAAATAAGAGCTAAAACCACAAACTCTTAGAAGAAAACATAGGGATAAATCTTCATGACCTTGGATTTAGCAATGGATTCTTAGACATGACACTTAAAGCACAAGTAACAAAAAATAGATAAACCAGACCTAATTAAGACTAAAACTTATTTTTGTGCATCAAAAGATATTATTAAGAAAGTGAAAAGTCAACCTATAGAACGGGAGAAAATATCTGATACAGTAAGGGTCTAGTATTCAGAATATATAAACTCTTACAACTCAACAACAAAGACAAACCAATTAAAATTAGGCAAAGGAACTGAATAGACACTTCTCCAAAAAATATGCAAATGGCCAAGAATGTGAAATATCATTAGTCATTAAGAAAATGCAAATCAGAATTATAATGAGCCTGGCTGGTGTGGCTCAGCTCGGTGGTTGAGCATTGAAGCATGTACTGAGAGGTCCCTGGTTCACTTCCCAGTCAGGGCACATGCTGGGGCTGCAGGCTTGAACCCCAGTAGGGGGTGTACAGGAGACAGCCAATAGATGTTGATGCATCTATGTTTCTATCTCTCTCTCCCTCTCCTTTCCTCTCTCTCTAAAATCAATAAAAACATTTATTTTTTTAAAAATCACAATGAGATTCCACTTCACACCCACTAGGATGGCTATAATCAAAACCCAGAAAATAACAAGTGTCAGTGAGAATGTAGAGAAACTGAACACTGCTGTTGGGAGTGTGAAATGGCTCAGCCACTGTGGAAAAAAGTTTGGCAGGTCCTCAGTGAGTTAGACACAAAGTTACCATATGACTTAGCAATTCCACCCATAGGCATATATCCCAAAGCACTGAAAACACACTGTACTCAAATACTTGTATATGAATGTTCATAGCAGCATTATCCACAAAGCCAATAGAGAGAAACAATCCAAATGTCCAACCACAGATGAATGGATGAACAAACATGGTCTATCCATACAATGGGAAGGAATGAGTACTGATACATGCTACAACATGGATGAACCTTGAAAACATGCTCAGTAAAAGAAGCCAGTCATAGAACGCTACATATTGTATGATTATATTTATATGAAATAATCTAAAATGGGTAAATCCACAAGGACAGAACAGGCTGATGGTTGGGAGAGGCTAGGGAAAGGGAGAAGGAAAGCGACTGATTAATAGGTACGGTATTTCTTTCTGGGGTGATAAAATGTTTTGTAACAAGATAGTGGTGATGGTTGCATAACATCATGAATGTACTAAATGCCACTAAACTATATACTTTAAAATGGTTAATTCTATGTTATATGATTTCACTACAGTTAAAAGAAAAAAAAACTCCATGCAGCCCATCTGAAGAACCGTGCTCTGACATGTTGTCTGCCGAGTGCTCTCTCCCAGAGCTGTACACGGCTTGTCCTTCCTACGTTCAGGTCCCTGCTCATAAGTCATCTCCTGAGAGGGCTTTCCTGAGGCCCTTATTTAAAATGTCACTGCTCCCCATCCCTCCATGGGCAACAGCAAATTCTTGCTCATCTGTCAAGGCCAAGTTTAACCACTACCTGCAACCCTAGACAGGACTAGACTAACCACTTCCTCTTCCTGTTCTTATGCCTCGTTATGGGGTAAAGTCTGTCTGCTTGGCTAGGCTGTGGTTCCCCAAAGTACCTGCCCAGCTCCCCCTTCTCAGGTGCTCGGCAAGAGCCTGTTGCTTCAAGTGAAGATGGTCAGATCCCTGAGAAAGAAGTGACTGTGTTGCTGTGTAAGAGGGTGCTCCAATTCCCCGGGACAAAGGCACACTCTGCCCCTCAGGGAGAGAGTGTAGCTACGATGTTAACTATCCTGGTTCCCTGCCCAGCAGGCCGGGAGGAGCCAGGACTGAGAAATCTGAGCCTCACCTGGAGCTCCCAGAAGATGCTGCGCGTGTGCCGGTGGTAGTAGTGTCTCAAGGGGATGTATTCCAGGCCCTCTCGGTTTGTCTTCAGGTAGTTCTCCACGTGCTTGAAGAACCAGGGCTTGTAGTAATTGCCAATGCTATTCAGCTGAAATGACAGAGGGCATTGTGTCAGCCCACAGACAAGCACCAAATGTCATCAGGGCGGAACAGCGATACCTGGCTTCTGTTCAGCACTCCTGGCCTTGTCAAAGCTCTTTCGTGTCTATTATCGCCTTTGAGACTCTTGAAAGCCTGGCAAAGTTAAGCACAGCAGGAGTTCTCTAACAGAGCAGCCAGCAGAAGCTCAAAGAAGTTAAATGGTGTGCCCAGGGCCCAACAGCTAGTTGCTGACAGTCTAGAGAGCTTAGTGACCCCGGCCTAGGCTGCTGCTCCTTCTCAATGCGGAAATCAAAGTGCAAATGTTTACCGGCACCTATCACAATACAGCGCTCCATGCAGCAAATCCCTCCCTCCCTCCCTCCCACT